GTGTACAGACTCCGGAGGGGCTCCTTCAGCCCAAGCGTTATAAACCACACGGATAACTCACGTGCTGCACGGACAACTCACGTGCTGCACGGACAACTCATGTGCTATAATAATATAGTATCTGGATCCGCACGGACAACTCACGTGCTGCACGGACAACTCACGTGCTATAATATAATATCTGGATCTACACAGACAACGCACGTGCTATAATATCAATAACCTCACAACTAGGTCCTCGGCCTCACTCAGTCATCAATCTCTCCAGTCTCTCGGGCTCTCAAAAATCATATAAACAGCCTAAACAGAGGTAATGTCATGTATCAACAATGAACATCAAGAGACGGAGACATAATAAGCAATAAAAGCTATGATTGAGTACAAGACAACAATTAGCAGCTAATTCAGTAAGTACACGACCTTACAGGTCTCAACAGTGATCACATAAGGCCTAAACATGATTTCTAACATGAAGTACAGTCAATTTCTATGAAAACAAAGGGAACATGTATTAAACAGTAGGCCAATAAATTTCATAGTCTCGCGGGACGGACTAAGTCACAATCCTTACGGTGCACGCCCACACGCTCGTCACCTAGCATGTGTGTCACCTCCAAAATAGTCATACGACACAATGTCCGGGGTTTCATACCCTAAGGACCAGATTTATAACCGTTACTTACCTCAATCCGAGCCAAATCCTACTCTACAGTGCCTTTGCCTCTCAAATCGGCCTCCAAACGTCCCGAATCTATCCATAATTAACTAGATTCATTCAATATATATTATAGGAATTAATCCCATATAAAACTACTAATTTCTAACAAAAATCCGAAATTAACCCAAAAATCCCCCGTGGGGACCACATCTCGGAACTCGACAAAAATCACAGAATATGAAGCCCCATCCAACCACGAGTCCAACCATACAAATTTTACCAAAATCCGACATCAACTCGACCGCCAAATCTCAAATCAAATTTTGGGAAAAATCTCTATCCCAATCCCCCAAATCATGAAATAAGTGCTAAAAATAATGTTAGATTCATGAATAAGGGACCAAATCAAGTTAAGATCACTTACCCAGTCCAATTTGTGAAGTTTGCCTCTGAAAATCGCCCAAAACGAGCTCCCCCAACTATGGTTTTGTCAAAAATGGCCAAAGACCCCCTTTTTATTGAGTTTTTACAATTCGGGTGCTGCCTGTGGCGCTGATTCCAGTAGCGAAGCAGATCCCGGCGCTAGGGATAGCGCCCGACACTACCCTGGGCGCTGACGATGGAAAATTATTTTTCCCGCATACGAAAATGCACTCATACGATGTCCGAATTTGACGATTCTTTTTGCTATGGCTCTGAAATTTCGATACAGATCTAATGCTTCAATCAAAACTGAATTTGGAACTCATTTGCTTAATGTGATACCACTTATTCTTGAATAATGACATCGAAACATTCTTGAAATGCCCAAGTTAAACCCAATAACCATCCAAACTCCACTCGAGGCCTTCAGGACCTCAACCAAATATATCAAAAAGTCCTAAAACATCATGCCGACTTACTCGGAGTTTCAAATCATGCCAATCAATGTCGAAACTACAATTCACACCTCGATTCGGACTTATGTGTTTCAAACTTTTCCTTTTACAAAGCGCGTGCCGAAACGTATCAAATGAATCCGGAATGATTTCAAATTTTGCACACAAGTCATTAATGACATAATGGAGTTGTTCAAATTTTCAGAATCGAATTCCGACCCCGATATCAAAAAGTCAACTCTCGGTCAAACTTTCCAAAAATCATCTATTTCCCAACTTTCGCCAAAATGCGCCGAATTATCCTATGGACTTCCAAATCCGAATCCGAATATGCGCATAAGTCCAAAATCATCGTACGAATCTATTGGATTCATCGAAATTCGAATCCGATGTTGTTTACACATAAGTCAATATCCGGTCAACTTTTTCAACTTAAGCTTTCAACTAAGAGACTAAGTGTCTCAATTCATTTCAAAACCACACCAGGCCCAAACCAATTTCCCCGACGAATCATTTAACGATTGTAAAGCATGAATTTAGTAGTAAATGGGGAAACAGGGTTGTACTATTCAAAACGACCGGCTGGGTCGTTACAGTAATCATGTAGGATTCCTAACGTGTAGTATTATATCCTAAAACTAACAGGATTATAAGGCTTATATCTAGAATTCCGGTTGTATCCTTTATTATGAGTTATTATACTTAATATTATAAGGTTATTTTTATAAACCGACATTGTATTCATGCTTTTATAATAATATAGATATAGATATATACCAATCTTAGAGTACGTGTGTTGCGCGCATATTTTATATCAATAAATACAAATTTTATAAAAATTACATAGATATTATTTACAAAAGTGTCTGGATTATTAAATGAAAATTAAAAAAATTCAAATTCCTGAAAAAATGATGAACATTAATCTAACTCAATAAAAGAACATATCTACTCTATTATTTGGACTTTCGTCAGGGATAGATTTATCATGATAGAGAGATAAATTCAGTCATTATCATGATAGAGAGATTATACATACTAATAAACATCGTTACTTCCTTAGATCAATAATGATAGGTATATATATTAGCCATATATCTGTAATTTGATATTTATTTGCGATTGCATGCAATATCTATCCGCTAGATAGATTTATCGACACGGTAAAAAATTATGAAACTCTATGACAACACCTTTGGAATAATGTTTTGTTAACATTTTAAAAAAAATAGTTTGAAATAGCTAATATTTTTGACATTATTCACCTTATATCTTTAAAATTTTAGCTAATTTGAAAATAATTGTGAGCTCCAGAGTTTTGCTTTAAGTTTTCATCTCTTAGTTTCTTGAAGTGGAAGACTTTTAATGTCACCTTGATTATTATTATTCCAGGTGAAATAACAATTCCTTAACTATTCTTGTGAAAATTAATATAATCAACTTATATAAATAATCTTATTGGGATTACATTCCTAAATATTAGGAGTTCTTATATAGTTCAAATAAAAAAAAAATAATTAAAATTTTAGTTAACTTTAACGTCCTAAATATTAAAAATATTAATTAAGCATTAATTCTATCCAATGTAAAATTTATTTTATATGATAAAAAGGTCGACTAATTTTGCATTTAAGTTTCGTACTTTTATAATAATGTGGATTGATTGAAGAAGACAAAATTAAGTGAAACTTTATTTTCCTATATATTTAGTAATTTTTACTTTTATTTATTACATAATTACTAAAATATTAATATATTTGTTGCAAATACTAAGTGAAAATAAAAAAAATTCCTCTAAAAAATTACTCATTGATGTTAAAAAACTATTTTGTTCATCATGATAAAGTACTATCATTTTCCAATTGCGTATAGAAATTACTTCAAAAGAACGGCTACAAATTTTGTATTAATGATCCAAATAATTAACTTCTTAATTATTTATTTAAGGTAAGATTTTAATCAATTTAAAGTTCTATATTTTAGGTACCTAATTTAAATAAGTAAAGATTTAATAACCAAATTTTAATGAATTTTTAGGTCCTAAATATTAGGATAATCAAATAATTATTTTGTCTAATATTAATTATATTTTAAAGGGGTAAAAAAGGCGAACGATATTTCGTTAAGGGCCTTCGTGCTTTTAATATAGTAAGTATATATATATGTATATACACACTTCATTGGATCACTTAATCATAATAGATGAACATATTGTGTTGTGAACACCAGCGTAAATATTTAACAGTCTTATACAACTTGATGGACAAGATAGGAGTAAAGTTCGCGTAATATAATACAACTTTACAAATTACAGTAGTTAGATTTATTTTATCGATCAATTATATATGTTAACTAACTGTCTGCCTTGTATTTAATATTTTTTTATATTGCTACTTGTAAATAAAAGAAGTTCATATTAACATCTTAGATTCCTTAAACAATTAAATTGTGTATTATCAAGGGAGTATATGTGAATTCGTTAAACAAGTACTCGGTGTTTTCAAAGCATAATCAGCTTTCAGGTGAAACTTAAAAAAGAAGTATGGCAGAATGGCCTAAATGACATCTGTATTTGTACCATTTTGTCATGCCGGTCTTCAAACTTAGATATTTGCCAATTGAACACTTATACTCATTCAAAACGTGAATAATAAACGCTTATCCAAGGAGGCTGCCAGTGCGTGTAATACAATCTCCAACACGTAGGACGCCACGTCAATAAAATAAAACCACATAGGCTCCAAGTCATATATTATAGCCACATAGGATAAAAAATCAGGAAAGGATTATTTGCCCCCCCCCCAAACCCACATTTTCCACTCATTTTACAATTACCCGCGTACTTAGGGCTTAGATAGTATCGAACAACAGCGAGTCTCTCCTCTCTTCTCCGTCGTTGTTGTCGGGATTTTCATCTGTATAGTTGTTATCGAAGTTTGTGGGGTAAGTTTCTTCATTTGTTGTTCATATTTTGTCTTTATTGTTCTTCATTTACCTCAATTTATGGGGCTTTTGCTCTGTTTAGGGGTTTTAAGGGGAAGGGCTGGGTTAGGTCGTAATTGTTATTTATTCTCCCTTAATATGTGGGGCTTTTGTTGTGTTTTGTTACATGTTAGAGTGAAAATCCTTTTTAATGTAGTATCATGCATGTAATGGCATATTTGGTTATTCCGTTTAGTGTTTTGGATTTTTGTTATCAAAGTAGAATTTCATCTTAGATTTATGCATTTTTTTGTGAAGTTTGTTGGGTCTCTTTCTTTTTAGTGGTCCACTCTTCCTTTTTAATGGCCCACCAGAGTATTTCTGAATATTATAAGGTATTGTAGGGACGGAAAAGGAATCTTGAAAGCTTTTTTACTTAAAAAATCTGTCTTTTTTGTTGGTTTGTTTATGGAGTTGTGTAAAGGTGCAACTTTTGATAACAAATAGTCATTGATAACACTGTCTTTTTTGTTACTTTGCAGGTATGAAAAGAAAATGCTTCAAGCCTAGTTAACCTACAAATCCACCACAATGGTAATTTTGTATCGGACCCTGACCTAAGGTATGCAAATCCACTAACTTGTCCTCAATTAGCTACAGTTGATGTTGATGAGCTACATATTATGTTGTTTCACAAGTTTGCTAGTGACTTAGGATTTTTAGAAGTTGATTTGTTTGGATGCAAAGTTAACAAAAGGGGTGGCTATTACATTTTAAAAACAGTGTTGATGTGTTAAAGTTTCTTAATACATTGAAAGGTAGTGACTTTGTTGATGTTTGTATTGTCCATAAAATTAGTGAGCCTATTCTTGTTGAGGACATAACTGAACTAGACCCCACTATACAAACAGATGGGCATGACAGTGGGTTAAATGCTAGGGCTGATGTGTCACCTCACAACTATGATATAAATAGGACTGAAAATAACAAAGATAAGGGTAAGGGGCAGATATAAATGAAGAGATAGAAGAATCAGATGAAGGTGAAGGTAATAACTTCTCATCCTATCACCTTCAAATATTAGAATCTGTTTTCATTTATGTTTAAGTTATAACAATATAATGTTGTTGATTGTAGGGTCTTCATCTAGCAATAATTCAGTTATTGCCAAATGCTGAGAAGAGATGGTGTGCTAGACAAATCTGGGTAATTGGAAGCAAACTTGGCCTGGTGAGGAAAGAAGGAAAAAATTATGGCAGTGTGCAAGAGCTACATTTGAAGTTTACTTTAGCAAGAAGTTGGATGAAATGGACCAGCTGGGGGGAGATTGTTCAAGACTTACTGAAATACAACAAGGAAACATGGTGTAGGGCATACTTCAAAGAACATAGTAAGTGTGATGCAGTGGAGAACAACATGTGTGAGACATTCAATAGTTGGTTATTGGCAGCTAGGCACAAATCTATCATTACTATGTTAGAGGAAATTAGAATCAAGTGTATGGAGAGGATGAATATCATAAGAGAGTTTTCTGAAAAATGGGTAGGTGATATATCACCCATGACTATGGAAATACTTGGAGAGAATGCTTAAAGGGCAGCCAAATGTGAAGTCAAATTTAATGATGAAACATGGTATGAGATCCAGGATGGGCCATATAAACATGTTGTTGACTTTAGGAGGTGTTCCTGTATTTGTAGATCATGCCAATTCAAAGGAATTCCATGTGCACATGCAATTACAGCAATGCATTATAAGAACTATGAGGTTGAGCCATATGTTGACCATTGGTATAGAAAGGATACCTACCTTAAGGCATATAGCAGATTCATTCAACCTTTAACTAGTATGAATTTGTGGCCAAAAAGTACACTGCCAGCTATTGAGCCACCTGTTATAAATGCAATGCCAGGAAGGCCAAAGAAAAAAAGGAGAAAAGCTGCTGATAAACCAAAGAAGAAGTGTGGGAAGGGTACAAGGATAGGGAGACAAATGAGATATTCTTTGTGCAAGACTCTTGGACATAACAAGAAAGGTTGTCCATCAGCATTAAGTATTAATGTTTGTTTTGTTACTAATATTTAAAGAATTCAATTACTAGTGATAGTTATGTTATGTGTATGTAGAGAAACCAAGGGGGAAGGGCTGGAACTAATTCAGTTGGAGGTGAAACTGCTGAAAATGCTTCATCAACAGCAACAGGTGGAAGTGCATCAGTACCAGCAGCTGGAAGTGCATCAGCAACAGTTGGAAGTGCATCTACCAATAGCTGGATCATCAACAACAGCTGGATCAGCAACATCACCTTCAACTATGGAAAGTGGCACCTTCAATCCACCAATCACTGATCCAAGTACACAACAATCAACTAATGTTGCAGGAGGTCCAAAAAGGAAGACCAATGAGCCTAGAAGAGGTGGTGCAAATGTAGGGTCTAAGAGACCAAAGACAACAGGATATGGTGTGCTATTTGATTCAAGTGGCACTGTTACACAAAGGGTAAGTATTTCCACTCAATTACAAAATCAACATATAAGGTTTACTACATAATCCCTCACTCACAACATTTTATTTTTGTGCAGTCTGAAACTACTGACAGAGTGGTACACAATCCTTCTACACTCATAAGTTCTGCCCTACCAACATTGAACTTAGGTTCAAACCACCTAGACTAAAGTGGAAGGGTCGATCTGCAGTTACCCAAAGGCAGCTGCAAGAACAGAGTTACAGAAGGGCAAACTCTGCTACAACCACTCAAGCCACACCAGTTACACAATCCACACCAAGCAGCCAAGCCACAACAAACATTAATTGAAGTGCTCAACTGATATTTATATATTTTGAAGACTTAATCATGTATGTTTTTGTTGATTGTGGTAGACAATATTTTGTAAAACTACTTCATTATGTATGTTTTTGTTGACTGCCTATAGTTGGCAATATTTTGTAAACCAATTTCCCTATTTTGGATGTTTCATTAACTACCTATAACACATGTTATTATATTAGTACTTATTGCTGTAATGAAGCCCTTGTCAATATATTCCATGAACAAAGTTTTACATCAACATAAAATATGTTGCCTAAACCCAGGAAATAAGAAACTACACTATCAATCCTAAACAAATAACATAATAGTTAACATTAGAACAACTATAACCGCAATTATAATAGCAACAACTCTGAACTTCGACCTTCCTTGTCTTCTTTGACAATGGCATCGATCACTCGCCGCAAGAAGAGTCTTGTAATGTTCTTCCTCAATCGCAGGATCAACCCATATGAAAAAGCCACAACCTTCACCAATCTCATATCTTCGGCAGCCCAGGAACCTTTTTCCAGGATTGGTGGGTGTTTGTGACATTTTAAGATCTGCAGCAAATTCACAATAACACAAAGGCTCCTTCTTCATTGTTGAAGGAGAAGATGTGGCAGTAGCTTATTTGTTGCAGGAGAAAAAGAAAAAAATCAACTTTCAAAACAAAAGGAGATGGCAAAAATTGAATAGAAATTAGCTTCTATAATGTTCAACAATGGAGAATAAGGTAGAAAGAAGAAGATAACTGTTAAATATGCTAAATTATTACCGTTAGGGCTTTTTTAGCTGTCTTCACGCCCCTTACAAGCGTGTGAATCACTCACTGAAGCCACATATGACACATAGGAGCAACCACGTTGGATAAGCGTTTATTATTCACATTTTGAATGAGTATAAGTATTCAATTGACAAATATCTAAGTTTGGGAACCGGCATGACAAAGTGATTGAAGTACAGGTGTCATTTAGGCTATCCTGCCGTATAGAAATAAAAACAAACTACGCAGCACTCGTTGTTCTATTGGGGTTAGCTTATTAGCCAATTAAACACATTTTTTTGGTAATACTTTTGAATTGTGATGGCCTTTGTCTGCAGAATGTTACTAGAAAAAATGGAGATATAGGGTGCGTCTGGTGCAAAGGAAAATATTTTTCGAAAAATATTTTTCAATTCTCATATTTGGTTAGCTTAAATATTTTGAAAAATATTTTTCTCAGGAACTCATTTTTCTCCAATTTGAGGAATATTTTCTTCCTATCAAAAGGGAAAACATTTTTCAAAACTCTTTTTCGATAAATTAAGTATTTTCTTTCATTTCAATAAATTAAGTATTTTCTTTTCCTGAAATAGAAAAGATATTTTTTTTCAACAAATGAGTACCTTTTTTAGGATATAGAAAAAGTATTAAGTATTTTCTTTTATTTCAACAAACGAGTACTTTCTTTTCATGATGTAGAAAAAGTATTTTCTTTCATTTCAACAAACTAAGTATTTTCTTTTTCTGAATAGAAAAAGTATTTTTTTCCCAACAATAAGTACTTTCTTTCAAGATGTAGAAAAAGTATTTTTTCTTTCAATTCAAAAAAATGAGTACTTTCTTTTCATGATGTAGAAAAAGTATTTTCTTTCATTTCAACAAACTAAGTATTTTCTTTTTCTGAATAGAAAAAGTATTTTTTTCCCAACAATAAGTACTTTCTTTCAAGATGTAGAAAAAGTATTTTTTCTTTCAATTCAAAAAAATGAGTACTTTCTTTTCATGATGTATAAAAAGTATTTTCTTTCATTTCAACAAACTAAGTATTTTCTTCTTGAAATAGAAAAAGTATTTTTTTCCCAAGAAAACAAGTATTTTCTTTTAATGATATAGGAAAAGTATTTTCTTTCATTTAAAAAAGAATACTTTCTTTTCATGATATAGAAAAAGTATTTTTTTTTTATTTCAACAAATTGCGTATTTTCTTTTCATGACGTAGAAAGAGCACCGCGCTGCCAATTTTGATGTAGAAAAAGTATTTTCTTTCATTCAACAAAATGAGTAATTTCTTTTTCATGTTGTAGAAAGGATACTTTTTTCAACGAAATACTTTTAGTTATCGAGCTCAAATTTAAACCGTTCCTTTGGGTTTGTGTGAATTTTAAAAAGAATAATTAAATTCTTGAAGAAAATAAAGTCGGGGGCGGGGGGAGGGAGAAGAGGGAAGGAGTACAGGAAACATGGGGATTTTGGGGAAGGTGGGTTGATGAGAGTAGCATAAAAAATTATTTTCCGAAAAATATTTTATACTCTTTAACCAAACAATAGAAAATATTGTTCGGAAAAAGTTTTTCACTCACCAACCAAACAAGGGAAAATAAGTGATAAAACCACTCATTTTTCTTGGAAAATATTTTCTAAGAAAATACTTTCCACGAAAAATATTTTCCTTTGTACCAAACATACCCATAGTTATGAATAATTATTCAAGTCTCTAATTGCGATTTAGTATTGTAACGACTCGACCGGTCGTTTTACCTTTTAGAACCCCGTTCCCTTAAATAAAACTCCACATGCTTGCTTTAGCTAATTTACATCTTGCGGGGACGGTTGGTTCGGGATTTGGAAGAGTTTGGAGTGAAATATGCCCATTTGATTCCTTAGAATTTTCTTACAAGACTATGTTTGACTTTGGTCAACATTTTTGAGCAAACAGACCCGGATTCGTGATTTGACGGTCTCGGAGGGTCTGTGGGAAAATATGGGACCTAGGCTTATGTCCGGAATCGAATTCCGAGGTCCCTAGCCCGAGTAATGAATTTTTATTAGAAATTGTTAATCTGAAGTTTTAAGGATTTAAAAAAACTAATTAGTGATTGATTTCATAGGTATCAAGCTCGTATGTTGGTTCCGAAGCCCGGTACAGGTCCGAAATATCATTTAAGACTTGCCTGTAAAATTTGGAGTCAATCCTAGTAGTTTAAGGGCATTTTGACCCATTAGAGGAAAATTAAGAACTTGAAGTTCATAAGTTTGATTCATTTGGTTTTAGGGGGTGAATCCTAGATTTAGCGTTGTTTCGGGTGTTTCGAAGGTTCGAGTAGGTCTGTCTCGTGATTTCAGACTTGTCGGCATGTTCGGGCGGGGCCCGGGATCCCCAAACATCAATCGGACGAGGCTCGAGTGAAGTGGAAATTTTTGAGAAGAGCTGAAGTTGCTGCTTCTGTCATAACCTCACATGCGGTTGGCGGACCGCAGGTGAGAGACCGCAGAAGCGGTCCTTTCATCGCAGATGCGGCCCAGGGCAGGCCAGGCCAGGAACTGCAGAAGCGGCTCCCAAGCCGCAGAAGCGGTTCTACAGATGTGGTTTCAATACCGCATAAGCGGTCCCAACCAATTTAGCCTCTTTCGCATATGCGGTCCTCTTCTTGCAGATGCGGGACCGTAGATGCGAAAATCGCTGAGGTAGTGAGGTTCATTTAATACGGGTTCTAAGTCATTTTTATCACTTTTCACTCTTCCATTGGCGATTTTAGAGCTTTTGGGAGAAGATCTTCAACTAGCATCTTGAGGTAAGTGTGTTCTACCTATTCCTAGTTTAAAAATTATGTCTTAGGTAGATTAAACACTAGTATTAAAGTGAAATCATGGGGTTAGAGTAAAAATGTAGGGTTTTAGTAAAAGTTAGATTTAACCACGAAATTTGCTATGGAATAAATTAGAAATCATATATTATCGATCCTTAGGTTATAGAGAACAACTTCTTCGAAAAATTTCGGAATCCAGGCACGTGGGCCCGGGGTCAGATTTTAGGAATCTTGTGTTAAAGGTTGGAAAATTGCTTAAATAGCTAGAATTTGATCTTTTGAACCTATATTGACTAGTTCTTACCTCATTTAACTAGTTTGGGATCGTTCGGCTCCGAATTGAGGGCTTTGACTCGTTCTTGGTATTGGAAGTGCACTTTGGAGCGAGGTGAGTCTCCTTTCTAACCTTGTAAGAGGGAATTATCCCCATAGGTGTAATAATTGAATTAATTACTATTATATGTGGGGGCAACGTACGTACTAGTTGATGAGAGTTCGTGCATAGCGACTATTATGTTAAGTTCGGGTAGTCTAAGACCCAAAAGCATACTCTACGTGATATTCTTGCAACTTGATGTTAAAATCGGATTCGTATAAATTACGTTGATTAAAGTAAATGAGACTAGTGTGAGAACCTTATCCTATTTGATATTTTAAAAGAAAATTTGGACATTCCTCTGAATAACTACTCCTCAGATACATACATTATTGTCTGCTTGTTAATGAGCTTATTTATATTTGACCGCATCGCACGTGAAATTCGCGAGCGGGGTAATAGATGCATTCGATCCGTTCGACTCTCAGCAGTGCATAATTTACTTTTATGTTGGATCGGGCCGTACGTCCCTCGGTACTGCTTGCGCATGCTTTACTTAGTATTTCTCTCTGTGGACTGAACTTCATATATGCCTTGAGACATAAATGGATACCCATGATATTATTTGGAAAAAAGAAGTATTAATCCTTGCCTTGCAATTCTAATAAACTATGCTATCCATGCTTATTACAGATTCTTTCTCATATTATTTGACCCTAGTGAGTATCAAGTCGACCTCTCGTCTCTACTTCTTCGAGATTAGACGAGATACTTACTGAGTACATATTGTTTATGTAATCATACTACACTTTTGTACTTAATTGTATAGGATCTGAGGCAGGTATATCTGGCTATCAGTCTGGTGCGCATCCCTGAGTGGACTCGAGACTTCTACGGTGAGTTGCTTCCTTCCCATGCCGTTCAGCAGCCTGAAGAAGTCTTCCTTATGTATTTTTTTGCTGTCTATTCTGTTTCGGACAGTAGGATAATGTGATTCTTTTGTATATTCTACTAGTTGCCCATAGCTTGTGACACACACATTAGTAGACTGTATTATTTTGGGGTTGTATGATTATTATGATTGTATTAATCATTTCTGATTTTTAGTCCAATTTAAAGAATTATTTCAACTATTTTTGGGTAAAGATAAATGAAAGTTTATTAGTATTTTCCG